CCTGTCCAACACCTGCTAGATGTGATGACCTGGACACCTGTCCAACACCTGCTAGATGTGATGACTCGGACACCTGTCCAACACCTGCTAGATGTGATGACTCAGATGCCTGTCCAACACCTGCTGGATGTGATGACTCATACACCTGTCCAACACCTGCTAGATGTGATGACTCAGATACCTGTCCAACACCTGCTGGATGTAATGACTCAGATACCTGTCCAACACCTGCTGGATGTGATGACTCAGACACCTGTCCAACACCTGCTATATGTGATGACTCAGATACCTGTCCAACACCTGCTAGATGTGATGACCTAAACACATGTCCAACACCTGCTAGATGTGATGACTCAGATACCTGTCCAACACCTGCTAGTTGTGATAACCTAGACACATGTCCAACACCTGTTAGTTGTGATAACCTAGACACATGTCCAACACCTGCTAGCTGTGATAACCTAGACACATGTCCAACACCTGCTAGCTGTGATAACCTAGACACATGTCCAACACCTGCTAGTTGTGATAACCTAGACACATGTCCAACACCTGCTAGTTGTGATAACCTAGACACATGTCCAACACCTGCTAGTTGTGATAACCTAGACACATGTCCAACACCTGTTAGTTGTGATAACCTAGACACATGTCCAACACCTGCTAGTTGTGATAACCTAGACACATGTCCAACACCTGCTAGTTGTGATAACCTAGACACATGTCCAACACCTGCTAGTTGTGATAACCTAGACACATGTCCAACACCTGCTAGTTGTGATAACCTAGACACATGTCCAACACCTGCTAGTTGTGATAACCTAGACACATGTCCAACACCTGCTAGATGTGATGACTCAGACACATGTCCAACACCTGCTAGTTGTGATAACCTAGACACATGTCCAACACCTGCTAGTTGTGATAACCTAGACACATGTCCAACACCTGCTAGTTGTGATAACCTAGACACATGTCCAACACCTGCTAGATGTGATGACTCAGACACATGTCCAACACCTGCTAGTTGTGATAACCTAGACACATGTCCAACACCTGCTAGTTGTGATAACCTAGACACATGTCCAACACCTGCTAGTTGTGATAACCTAGACACATGTCCAACACCTGCTAGATGTGATGACTCAGACACATGTCCAACACCTGCTAGTTGTGATAACCTAGACACATGTCCAACACCTGCTAGATGTGATGACTCAGACACATGTCCAACACCTGCTAGTTGTGATAACCTAGACACATGTCCAACACCTGCTAGTTGTGATAACCTAGACACATGTCCAACACCTGCTAGTTGTGATAACCTAGACACATGTCCAACACCTGCTAGTTGTGATAACCTAGACACATGTCCAACACCTGCTAGATGTGATGACTCAGACACATGTCCAACACTTGCTAGTTGTGATAACCTAGACACATGTCCAACACCTGCTAGTTGTGATAACCTAGACACATGTCCAACACCTGCTAGTTGTGATAACCTAGACACATGTCCAACACCTGCTAGATGTGATGACTCAGACACCATGTCCAACACCTGCTAGTTGTGATAACCTAGACACATGTCCAACACCTGCTAGTTGTGATAACCTAGACACATGTCCAACACCTGCTAGTTGTGATAACCTAGACACATGTCCAACACCTGCTAGATGTGATGACTCAGACACATGTCCAACACCTGCTAGTTGTGATAACCTAGACACATGTCCAACACCTGCTGGATGTGATGACTCAGATACCTGTCCAACACCTGCTAGTTGTGATAACCTAGACACATGTCCAACACCTGCTAGTTGTGATAACCTAGACACATGTCCAACACCTGCTAGCTGTGATAACCTAGACACATGTCCAACACCTGCTAGTTGTGATAACCTAGACACATGTCCAACACCTGCTAGCTGTGATAAACTATACACATACACGTGTTGGTATATATATAATTATCTGTTCTTAGTGCTCTCAATGATATACATTTCTCGATGTATTTACACTGAGAAATTCATGTGTATATACATTGAAAGATATACACCTCTATATGTCTTCCAATGTATATGCATTGTATATATAATGTATTACACAGGTGTATATCAAGATTTTTTACAGTATTGAACAATAAGACTGTTGAGGTTCTATGACCGCGGGTTCAAACCCTTATTATTATTAAATATTAGCCGGTATTCTCCCGGCCCGGGCCTTTTCCAAGTGGTGGCCCGGCCTTGGCTCCCTCTTTAGGGAGTGTCTGAGACCTAAGTCTCCGATGGGAGGAGGCACAAGTTCCTCCTCATCTTTGGGACCAACTGTCCCCAGGCCTAGCCTCATCTTTGGGACCAATTGTCCCCAGGCCTAGCCACAAGCTAGGCCTCTCTGGTTTGCCATCCCCGCCACTATGGGGCAAATGGGAATGACAGTCTTATGAGCTAAAGGCTCGGGCTCAGGCGCCTACCCTACCCTAGAAGGGTTAGGCATGGTGTCGATCGGCTAGGCCTCTGCCGGGGTATGGTTAATAAGACTGTTCTCTCTCTCCAAGGAAAAACAACCGGACACATTTATGTAAATATTTTATTATATTTCAAAATTCAGCAGTGAAACTAACATATTTGACCAACATTAATTTTCTTGAAATTACAGTAATGTGAAAAATTGACTCAGGCAAGCAATCTTTCTGCAAAAAAGGTAAAATATCCTGACGCCTCCGAAGGACGCAGGAACATGGCGGCAGACAATGGTAAACAATTAAAAAAAAATCCTCTACGTTTGGCACGGAATATGCGTCTCACGCTATACATATGATACAATATATACAAATATATAACCAAAAAGGCAACTTGGTCAGGCTTGGAGGGTTTTAAAAAGTGTATTTTCATTCCTGGCTAAAATATTTTTTAGGCTGTTCTATGAATACATCCGGAGTTTTTGTATTTTTTGATTCCTGTGTCTAAAAGATTGGCACAAGCTTATTGTTATTTAGACACAATCTTACTGTTATTTAGGTTTTGACAGGATGTTTTATCAATTATAAATTCTTACAAATTAGTGAATTATTGTGTATTAAATCCAGTCAGTGTAGCGCCAGGAGACTCTTACAATATCTCTCTTAATGCGCACAAAAAGGGCTGTAAATACTGTGATCAGTATAAACACTGATTTCTAGACTACTTCTCGCTCCTAGTATAGCTCTGTACAGAGCGAAACGTGCTCTGTAAATAACAGTTTGCTCCAGATGTTGAGCCTTGACTCTATGAGGGTAGAGGCCACGGTAATGCTGCTGCTGTTACCCCTTGGAGACACGTGTTAGATGACACGTGTTAGATGACACGTGTTAGAAGACACGTGTTATTAGACACGTGTTAAATGACACGTAAGTGTAGCCTCAATCATGGCGGTCACGGTAACTTAAAACGACGTAATATTGTCCAGACAACAGAAGTTATTTACAAGACTTAACGACCCGCTTTATCAATACTTAACCATCACTATACCCGTTGAGGGAAACATCTCGGGACGCATGTGAGAGTTTCCTCCTACTAGGATAAACTGCTAGGTTGGTCCTCCTCTAGGATAAACCTGGATAAACGTTGCTCTTTCCGGACGGGCAAAACAGTGCCTCACGTGGAATGCAGGTTGGGTTATCTGTCGTGAGATGAGTTGGTGGTGGGCGTGTGTGTGGGCGTGATAGCCAGCTGGTGGGCGGTGATAGCACGCCTCCAGAGGGTTCGTAAAGTGGGCCACCAGTCAGGACAAGCCGGATCCAAATGGGCGAAGATATACGGTGGTGGTGAAGCCGGACGCGCGCGACCGGTCCAGGCAGCCATGTCGTTGTGATCGTAGGAATATCTGAGGTTCAGATAATGTGGTTGAATTCTTAGCGACTCCACCAACAACCCCGTCACCCAGACGTCATCCACCCATATCCTGGTGGACACTCTGGCCTCCGCTACCCGGGACAACACGTCAGCCGTGTCTGGCGTCGCTACGTAGGCTAAACCAGCGCAGTACCGTGGATAGGTGGACCAGGGATAGTCGGATTCGTTAACGGCCCACTTACCCGAACGTTGGGGTTCGGTTCCCGCTGGTAGGACATTGCATGCTAGGGTGCGTTTCGGAGGTGGAAGGGCGAAAGTGCGGTCCAGCAGCGCCCTCAGGGCTGGTACGTCTATAAATGCGTCGTCGTCGGCTTTAATGAGGTAGACAGCGTGGGCGCAGTGTGCGGCCGCCCACCGCAGCGTCATGACGTGTTTGTAGGTAAGGTTGTGGTAGTGGTCGGTGAAGCTGCCGACCACTAGGTCACCGTGCCGCCCAGACTCCTCTTCCACTACCTGCGTGATGTTGATGCCGCCGCCCACCCCGCCCTCTCCCGCCTCGCCGCCGCCACCGCCGCCCACACCTAGTAGAAACACTGTGCGGGCCGCCCACCCGCCGCCAAGGTCCCTGTGGCCACCCCAGGTGGCCCTGATGGCCTGCCGCTGACGGAAGTGGTCAGGGCGAGAGTGCACCAGGAACACGAAGAAGAGTCGTGCAGGTGAACACGTTTCAGAAGCTTCGTGCACGTAACGAAACTCGTGCAGGTCGAGCAGGCTGTCAGGCGTAGGTCTGGGCAGGTGGTGCTCTGAGACGAAGGCAAGGGGCGGCCGTGGGCGGGGTGTGGGCGGTCCCACTAGCACCGTGGTCAAGGTAGCTAGCAGGAGGTGGGCGCTGACGCCCATAATAGTCAGACACAGAGAAAACTGTGCCAGTCTGAGGAGACACACCCACCCACACACCCACCCACAAACCCACCCACACCCGCCCACACCACCCTCATGGTCCGGGCATGGGCTGCTGCTTCTGCTGCTACTCCTGCTGCTGTTACTGCTGTTGTTACTGCTGTTCAGACGAGCCTCCAACAAGTCAGCCTGGAACAACAGAAAAACAAATATTATTTTTACACCAATGGGCTCTTGATTCCAGGAGTTGGAGCAATCCTCACCTTCCTCGGATCAAACCTCACCGCCCCAGATGACGTACAAAAAATACAATAGAATTAAATTCTATAAATATTCCAAGATAATATTGATAATGAGAGAAAAGGCGAATATTAGTTGGTAATTAAGACTGTAAGTGGGTTATTAAGACTGTAAGTGGGTTATTAAGACTGTAAGTGGGTTATTAAGACTGTAAGTGGGTTATTAAGACTGTAAGTGGGTTATTAAGACTGTAAGTGGGTTATTAAGACTGTAAGTGGGTTATTAAGACTGTAAGTGGGTAATTAAGACTGTAAGTGGGTTATTAAGACTGTAAGTGGGTTATTAAGACTGTAAGTGGGTTATTAAGACTGTAAGTGGGTTATTAAGACGTAAGTGGGTAATTAAGACTGTAAGTGGGTTATTAAGACTGTAAGTTGAGGTTATTAAGAATGTAAGTGGGTAATTAAGACTGTAAGTGGGTTAATTAAGACTGTAAGTGGGTTATTAAGACTGTAAGTGGGTAATTAAGACTGTAAGTGGGTAATTAAGACTGTAAGTGGGTTATTAAGACTGTAAGTGGGTTATTAAGACTGTAAGTGGGTTATTAAGACAGTAAGTGGGTAATTAAGACTGTAAGTGGGTAATTAAGACTGTAAGTGGGTTATTAAGATTGTAAGTGGGTTATTAAGACTGTAAGTGGGTAATTAAAACAGTAAGTGGGTTACTAAGACTGTAAGTGGGTTATTAAGACTGTAAGTGGGTAATTAAGACTGTAGGTGGGTTATTAAGACTGTAAGTGGGTTATTAAGACTGTAAGTGGGTAATTAAGACTGTAAGTGGGTTATTAAGATTGTAAGTGGGTTATTAAGACTGTAAGTGGGTAATTAAAACTGTAAGTGGGTTATTAAGACTGTAAGTGGGTTATTAAGACTGTAAGTGGGTAATTAAGACTGGAAGTGAGTTATTAAGACTGTACGTGGGTTATTAAAACCGTAAGTGGGTTATTAAGACTGTACGTGGGTTATTAAGACTGTACGTGGGTTATTAAGACTGTAAGTGGGTTATTAAGACTGTAGGTGGGCTATTAAGACTGTACGTGGGTTATTAAGACTGTAAGTGGGTTATTAAGACTGTTAGTGGGTTATTAAGACTGTACGTGGGTTATTAAGACTGTACGTGGGTTATTAAGACTGTACGTGGGTTATTAAGACTGTACGTGGGTGATTAACACTGTACGTGGGTTATTAAGACTGTAAGTGGGTTATTAACACGGTACGTGGGTTATTTAGACTGTAAGTGGGTTATTAAGACTGTACGTGGGTTATTAAGACTGTACGTGGGTTATAAAGACTGTACGTAGGTTATTAAGACTGTACGTGGGTTATTAAGACTGTACGTGGGTTATTAAGACTGTACGTAGGTTATTAAGACTGTACGTGGGTTATAAAGACTGTAAGTGGGTTATTAAGATTGTGAGTGGTTATTAAGACTGTAAGTGGGTTACTAAGACTGTAAGCAATTTAAAATTAAGACTGTTCGTTTTAAGACTGTACGTAGGTTATTAAGACTGTAGGTAGGTTATTAAGACTGAACGTGGGTTATTAAGACTGTACGTAGGTTATTAAGACTGTACGTGGGTTATTAAGACTGTACGCAGGTTATTAAGACTGTACGTGGGTTATTAAGACTGTACGTGGGTTATTAAGACTGTACGTGGGTTATTAAGACTGTACGTGGGTTATTAAGACTGTACGTGGGTTATTAAGACTAGTAACACTGTTGTCTCTCACCACCAGGGCAGGGAGACTGTCTCACCTGTTGTCTCACACCCCAGGGTAGAGACTGTCTACCTGTGTTCTCACCACCAGGGCAGGGAGACTTAACCCTGTTGTCTCTCACCACCAGGGCTATAAGACTTATGGGTCTAACTGAAGTGACTCGCCCCCTGCAACCAAAATAGGTGAGTAGGTGGAAAAAGGGGAGTAAAAATTAGGAAGGAGGGTCGGGGAGACTGTAACGTATACAAATACTGCGTGGAATAGAAAGAGGCAGAGACAGGTGTTCCAGAGATGGGACACAGCAAAAGGGGACACAGTTGGAAGCTGAAGACTCAGATGAGTAAAAGGGATGTTAGGAAAGTTTTCTTTGTCATAGATTGTCAGGAAGGGAAATTTTTGGCAAAGATGTAGTGGAGGCAGGAACTATACATAGTTTTAAGACGAGTTGATAAAGCTCATGGAGCAGGGGAGAGAGAGGCCCTGTAGCGGTCAGTGAAGAGGGGGGCCGGAGTGAGTTCGACCACAATTAGGGGAATTAGGGGGTTACAAACAACACTTGTATTTAATGTGGTGTTTTGGTTGGAGTGGTATTTGGAGTGGTGGTGTGGGGTAGTGGTGGAAAGGGTGGGTATGGTGGTAGTGGTGGTGTGGGGTGGTGGAAAATAGGAGTGGTGGAAGTGGCGGTAGGAGTGGTGGTGTGGTGGTAGTGGTGGAAGTGGGGGGAGTGGTGGTGGGGGGAAAATGGTGGTGTTAGTGGTGGTATTGGAAAATGAAGTGGTGGTTTTAGTGGTGGTGGTGGTTGGGTGGTAGTGGGGGTAGTGGTGGTGTGGTGGGGGGGTGGTGGGGGGGTAGTGGTAAAGTGGTGGAAGTGGTGGTGGGGCGGTGGTAGTAGTGGTAGTGGGGGTAGTGGTGTTGTGGTGGTAGTGGTGATAGTGGGGGGTAGTGGTGGTAGTGGGGTAGGGGTGGTAGGGTGGTGTGGTGTGTGGTGGTAGTGGTGGTAGTGGGGGGTAGTGGGGTGGGGGAAAAAGGGAGTGGTTTTTGGAGTGGATTGGTAGGGGTTTGGGTGGTATTGGGGAGTGGTGGAAGTTTTTTGGTAACAGTGGTTTAAAGGGTGGGGGGGGGTTAATGGGGTAGTGGCGGTGGGGAAAAATATGAGTGGTGGTAGTGGTGGTAGGGGGTGGGGTAGGTGTGGGTTGGGTTTTGTGGTGTAGTGATAGTGATGGTAGGAGTGGTGGTGCTGGTGGTATTTAGTGGATAGTGGGGTAGGAGGGGTTAGGAGTGGTGGTAGAATGGTGGTGGGGTGGTGGTAGGGGTTTTAAAGGAGTGGTGGGGGAAGGTGGTTGTTTTTTCGGGTAGTGGGGTGGTGAAAAAGGTAGTAGCGGTGATAGTACAAAGAAAAAACGAGAGAGAGAGACGACAGAAAAAACAGACAGACAGTAGGGAGAGAGTTGGGTTTACAAAAGTGAAAAGTGAAAAAATTACCTCCCTTCTTACTTCTGTGCCAACACACACACACACACAACCCACACACACACACCACACACAAAAACATACAACACCACAACACACACACACACACACACACACACAAAAAACCACCACACACACAAATAAACCCAAAAACTAAAGAAAGGGGGAAACTAACAGGAATGAAAAATACCTAAAGGGGGGTTCAGTGGGACAGAGAACTGGCAGGGAACCCCAGTTAATGAGTGAGGATTTTAGCAACAAAATGCAAGGAGGCTGAGGAGGTTTGTACCAAGGGTAACAGGAATAATGAAAAACCCGGGAGACCCCCAGGGTTTTACCCAAAGGTGCAGGAGGCAAAAACCAAGTGTGCTAGGGAATGGAAGAAATATAGAAGGAAAAAGGCCCCGGAAAAAGGAGAACGTCGTAGGCCAAAAAACGAATATGCACAGTAAGAAGGGAGGCCCCAAAACATATGAAAAATTGACTGAGTGAAAGCCAAATTGCCCCGAAACTGTTGTACAGCCACACAGGAGGAAAAAACAGTAAAGGACCGGTAATCAGGCAAAGGGAAAGGGAAGGGAGGGAGACAAGGAAAGACCGTGAAGTATGTGAAGAATCAAAAGAGATTCAAAGAAGTGTTCACAGGGGACAAAAGGGACTCCAGAAAGACGGAGAGGTGGGGCACACCCCATGTGCTGGACACGTGAACAAAACCGAGGAAAAAGGGTAAAAGAGGTTCTGGTGGCTAGATCCCTAAAAAGGAATGGGGCCAGATAAACTCCATGGGTATTGAGGAGGGAGCAAGAGGCGATGTTACCCCTAACAAAATATTCAATAATCTATGAAACGGGGGAGATTCCCTGAGGCAGGGAAGACAGCAAAGTAGCCCCAATCTTTAAAAAAGGAGCAGACATGAAGCGTTAAAAATCAGCCAGTGCCCTGACAGTATAGTATGCAAAATCATGGAAAAGATTATAGGAGAAGAGTGGTGGAACACCTAGAAAGGAATGATTCATAAAACAGACCCAGCATGGTTTTAGGCGGGAAATCCTGTGTCACAAATATGGAGTTCATGAATGGTGACAGCGGTGACAAGGGGGGAAGGGGGGTGGGGGGATTGCTTTTTCTTGGACTGAAAAAGGGGCTTTTGCACAGTTCCCCACAAGTAAAAGGGCAAAAAAAATGGAGGCCCAAAGGGGGGATAAAGGGAAGGCACTACAATGGATCGGGGGAATATTGTCAGGAAGACAGAGGAGTCATGGTCGTGGGAGGTGTCAGAGGGGGCACCTTGACCGCGGGGCCCCCGCAGGGGTCCCCTAGGACCATGCTGTTTCTGGTATTTGTAAACGCTGAGGGAAAGGAATAACTCTGAGGTGTCCCTGTTTGCAGTGCGTGAATTTGATGAGAAGAATCACTCGATCGAAGACCGGGCAGAATAAAAGGGGTCTGGACGGCGCAGCCCGGTCCAGAAATTTGGTCCGGGGTTTTCAATCCCACCAAGTGAAAGTCATAAAGTTTGGGGGAAAGGGCAAAGAAGGCCGCAGAGGGGAGTACTCTAGGGGGTGAGACTACAACCTCACTAAAGGGAAAAAAAGTCTTGGGGTGAGAAAACACCAGGAAATTCCCCTGAAGCGCACATAAACCAAAAAACGTGCAGCTATGGGCGCTAGAAAAACCTCAGAACGATTCCGACATCTTAATAAGGAATCGTTCAGGACCCTGTACCCCGTTTTCGTTAGGCCAATTGGGATGCGGCCCCATTTTGGAAACCCACACCTA